CCTGAAGATAGAAGACTTTGTTGAATCTGACGTGACATGTTCGTACGAACCCTTTGTACGAACAAATGTAAGATAAATTTAGGAAAAGAATACGAACATGTTCTTGCATGAGGCCCAATCAATTTTGCTGTTGAGCAGCTTCAGAGTTCAACCTACTGCTGGAACTTTAACCCCTCCGAGGGTCACAATCCAGTCATCTTGGGTCAGCATCCAATCAGAGCAGATTTTTATTTTATTGTGTGGCTTTCTAGATCAGGAYAATTATTTTAAAAAGCCACTGTGAAAACAAAGTGTCTAGGGATCATTTACTTTACAATTAGCTACTTCCAACAATCACCAATTCTAGAGGTGTTGACAGACAAATGTTTTTGTTTTGTTTTTTCCTGACACTGACTAACATACAGTTGTGTCTGGGTCACAACTATCAATGTTGTCAAGACAATATTTCAGTCAGACACAGATTTAGAAATACCTGGAAGGTGGCATGAGGAAAGTGAAAGCATTATATAATACAGTATAACAAAGCTGATAACAAACGAAAAACAAAAGCTAAATTTGTACATTCTGCTCCAATGGGAATATATATTTTGAAATATAAGCCGATACAAATGGGAAAGGTCCACTGCTTAACCAGCTGTTAACACAAATAAATAATATTTGCTATTGTTTAGTAAAAAAAGACAGAWAATGTTTGGAACATGTATTGTATAGATTAATATGTCCATCTATTTGTCTTTTGTGCCAAATAAATTCAATAAAGATACAAACTGTGGAAGATAAAAGKAGAGCAGAACACAGTGATCTGGCAGAAAATACATCTGAAGCAGACTAAAATAAAAACTGATTCATCTGGGACACTAGTTTTTCCTCCTATTCTGTCAAGAGTTTTCTCAAGACTATTTTCCTTAGAGAACACTTTAAAAACATTCAAACTTTTCAATAGACACATTAATGAATTTTATAGACTTTATTTGCACTTTGCCTTCCCTTCACCAGTCTACAGCTACTGTACGTACATGGATGAGTCCTGGGATGAACTTGTCCACTATCAGCTAGGATCCCAAGGTGGCTCAGCGTTGAAGTCAAACGGCTCTCTGTAAAGAGCTGCTCCTAGATCCTCTGGGTAGTTGTTACACACCTGATGAAAAAACAAACAGCAGAGTAGAGAGGAAACTGTCACAGCAAATAATTTTTCACTAAGCAATCAGTACAGAAGTAGCTTATTTTTTAAATATAGATTATGAAATATGACTTCTACAAAGCCTGTTAATGTCTGTATAATAGATGTAGTTCAGAGTTTTCTAGGCACACATAGTCATTGACATATTTTTTTATTTACGTAACAAACCTTTACGTTTACAATCTTCATGTTAGAAAAGCGTAAATAATGTTGTGTAATGAACAAACGTGTTTTATTATAATTAATAATCTTGATTTGGGCTATATTATAACGTTATTATAACTATATAACTTGTATTTACACCACGTAATAAATTGAACACATTTACCATCGTTGTCATTCAAACTAACATTATGCTAAAGCTAGTAGCATAATAAGCTAACGCTACTTACGTTGAATGAAGACCCAGAATAGGGAATAAAACGCTTTTTCTTTTTAAGCGGAATTTTTAAAACGTTTCGGGATTACATAAAAAGAAAATCGTAACTGCCATGGACCGATTTAGGTTACTGCTTCTTACGGTATTTAAAAATAACACTAACACTACTAATTTGCTACAACAGGGGCAAAAGGAAACAGAAAAAAAAAGACATGCGCGTGCGTGAAGTGTGAAATGCCACAAAGTGAATCCACATCCGGTTGTATTTCAAAATAAAATCAACATGAGCTAACGATGAGGACATGATTGGTTTTTATACAAAAGGAGTACACAAAGCAGTCCAAACAACACATTACCGTTTATACTGTGATGCAACACCGCCATTTTACATAACGTTTATTTTTCAAATTGCTAATTAGATGAATACATCATAAATCTGAAGAAACATGGGGAACAGTGGAGTATTTACAAATTATAAATTACTGTAGCCTTCTTACAGYAAAACTTATTGTAACTTACACTAAACTACAGTAACTTACTGTAACTACAGTAATTCATCAAAATTAGTTCATGCTAGTTTATATATTCCAATAATTTCCTGAACAGTAAGACAATTATTTAGGACACAATTTTTTTATTTTAGTTTCTTATAATAAATTTAGTCAGTACATGCTAGTGCGAAAGATTACAATGTCAAATTTCTYAGTAATTACCTGTGTTATGTCTTCTTCATTTTCCCCATGGTTCAATGACAATGACAAAATTGTGTCAAATAAGGATGACTGAAAAGTCCTTTTATTGTTCTTGTATTGCAATCAAAGGCTTTTTTATCAGTAGCAGATAAATGCACGCATCTTATCTTGCAGTTCAAGCTCAGAAAGGACTTTCCTGTCCCTCAGCCTCTGTTGTTGTGACTTTGAGAAACTGCATTCCTCTTTTTCTTTCCCTTTTTTTCCCAAGCAGAAACATTTGCATGTTTCCCTCCTCAGCCATGGAGGAGGAGGGAACCAAGAGAAGTCCAGCCACTATTTGCCAAACAGAAATGCTTTCTTTTGGTTTGGTTTTAGCCCTTAAAGGTATAGAGCATTGTCTATACTAGAATATAKTCATCAAAATTGCTAACTTGTTGCATAATGTTTGGTTTGGAGGGCATTTAGCTCAACATTGTCATTTATAACAACAAAACATTTTACATGTACTCATGCATTAATGTAAGTGTATACTTGATACACAAGTTTCTTTGTGGGGGGAATTATGCAAAGGCAACTTTTTTGAGGTTTATATCCTGTTATAATGTCATCCCCTCATCAGAAACATACCCAGAGTGTTGCTTTGACTCATTTCTGCATGTTTGAGAAATCCTTGAATCTCCTGTAGCCATGTGGAGCTGCCTAAATACTTGCTGGTACAAAGCTCCGCCCATTTGTACAAAGCTCCTCCCCGGAGCTCAGTCTGTAGCAGAGCTCCCGCCACACAGAGCACCCCTCCCCTGAAGCATTGTTGTGAAGATGTGCTGAAGTGGGAATGTCAGTAGGAGGCTCTTGAAGCAACAGAGGCCAATTCCAAGACTGTTACATGATGYAAAGTCAAATTTATTTTTTGACTTATACAGCATTTTTACAACAACTGAAGGTAACATTACTTGATTGTGATATACGATATGTGACTKGATGGAAAATACACAATACCCCATTCTCCTTCCCTCCTTAAAATGTCCATATCAGTGTAAATCTACCCCCAAGTTACTATTTTAGAGTCAGAGAACAACATATAGCCCCCCCCCCACACACACACACACACAAAAAAGAAAAATAAATAAATACAATTTAAAATAAAATAAAAAACTTTTCCAAATCTTTATACGTGTTTTTATATATGAAACTCCCAAGGATCTAGTGGTCATCCTGTTTTATAAGCGTTTCTTCAGTTTTTGCCACCTTGATCGGCCCACATCACATTCTTGATGTTACCATTTGTGCCTCTGAAATTCCTCACAAGCCCAGATGATCCCTGAATGCTCCTTTGGGGAAAATAAACAATGTCTGTGCTTGTTTCACTAATAAAACTATGGCCAAGAGTCCATTGTAAAGACTGGAGAGGCTGCGTTTCATTTTCCTTGAAGCACAACACAAAAGCTGTTCCGTGTTTTGTGCCAGACTTCTCCAACACAAATCAAGGCCATGTATATATAAGGCTAATCACGCATAACATCTAGAGTGACTTCCAGTAAAGCACTGCGCTTGATTTTCATTGTCTGGATCATAATAGACATAGCAGCCGCTGAGTATGCGACAGGGAGACGTGTGTACCACCCACTACAGGGGCAAATCCTCCGGTGGCTGCATTGTGCTGCAGGAATTCTTATTTGCAAACATTGCAAACAGATTACATCAATGCACAGATTTAGAAAGCTTGAGCAAGAGGACCCAGCTAAACCGAACAAAATCATCATCATATAAGCACCTAAAACAACTGGAATATTTTATTCCTCATCCTTGAAGGCAAAAGGGTGATACTGTTTTTATTTGTACTCGTTAATTACTGGGTTACGGCCAATCCTTTTAAACCTCAACAGAGTCCACGCCTCCAACAAGCAATCATTTCTCAATAGCTTAGAGTCCAGACCCTCTGTACRAAGCAAAGCAGAGAAACAAGGGGCTAGTTTTTTTTTTTACCTGGCTGGTGGTTACAAATTAAATTTTCACAACCTCTGAGCACAAGGTCCTGTGTTCTCTAAGGAATGTTTGGGCTTTAATTAGGTATTTTATACAAACATTCACTTAAACCTTTAATTTGTCAAAAAGACATTTTCAGTTCAGCTGTGTCGGGAAGTCTTCAGTGGATGATGTAAAGATGAGTGTAAACCCTCAATGAACTGGTCGTATTCAATCAACTCTGGTGTTGTTAAGTAACTCCAACATAGTTTCTTCTCTTTTTGCCAGAAAATGTTGCTAAGTAGAGAGGAAGTCCAAACAAACCTCTCCTCTCACTGACCTGAATGTTAATAAGAAAATATAAAGGCAACTCTGGACCCAAGGAACTATAAACAGTAATATAAATGCTACATCTTTAGAGGATCTGATAAACCAATCTTACTAAAAGTGTTTGTAAAAAGAGACACAAACAGATTTATTCTTTAAAATGTGCCAACTGAAGGAGTTGAGTCTTATCTCTGGACTCTCCTTGACATGTCATGAGCAACAATGGTATCAAAGAGGTGGAGAGGTGTTGTAAGATATACCTCAGTGGTCAAACAATGCCACAGCCTAAAAAATGATGCACATTTCACCCTCGTTTCCTTTCTTGCTGAGATACAGTCCCCAGAGTTGTAATTATTTCATACCATTACCAAATGACAGGTTTAGACTAAAGTTATCTGATGTTGAGAAATGATGGGGTCAAACCCTGAACATGTTGTTGTGTAATCTTAACACCATGATCAGATGTTACTTTCAGAGTTTGTGTTGTGAATGACTCATCTACAACACAACATTTTAATTACATATCTGCTAGGTAAACTGTCTGAATTAAAGTTATTTTTGGGTTAGCTGATTTCAGTTATTTTTGGCAGCCATTTTCAGTCAGGTTGACATGAGAAAGAGGAGTTGTACATGTACATAATTATCTGTGGTTCCTGAGATATTTGGTAACAAACACACATATACACACACAGGTTTGTTTTTCTATCCTTATTAAGTCCGTTCATCGATTTCCATTCATTTCCAGTCTTGTCCAAATACTAACCCTGACCCTAAACCTAACTTAAACTCAGCTCACACCTTGGTCCTAAACCTGACCCCTGACCCACAAATGGAGGTTTTCCATTGTGTGGACTAGACAAATGTCCACAAAATGTCCTCATGAGCATTGTACAATGTCAAAATATGTCCGCACACCAATACAAAGACATGTACACACACACACACACACACACACACACAC